AAGTATCGATTTAAGATTGGCCCATCCACCCCGTCCTCATTACCCCCTAATATAATATAACCATCTCTGCTGTAGTGCTGGTCTCTTCTGGCAAGCCATGCTACTTGAAAACATTCTGCTTATTGTAGCTGAAGCTAATTATGAGATTGCTGTTCTGAGCATCTATAAATAGCGATCCTCCAAGATATGAAAGTTTTAAGGTATTTTGAACCCTTTTGTCTGTTTAACCTAATTAAGAAATACAGGTAATAACTATTTTAAAATGATAATATATCAAACTTACATTAGGTCACTGAAAGTAACTAAAGATTGCCCTGTAACTTTTCCCCTCCTCTATCTTTGTTTTTTAGAAATATACTATTCTTCCACTATTTCTATTTCCTCCTATAAATTTTTAAGTCTTCCCATTAAATAGAAGGTAATTTCATTGTCTTTATATAATGCCTGAAGCCAATTGCCTAATTAAACCAGAGACGCACAAAGGCATGGAGTCTAGAAGTATTTATTAAGTAGGCTACCATTAATTATGCATGACTTTTATAATGAGTAATATAGAAGAGGGATGGTGATACTATAAGAACAAACCTTGTGACTCTCTTGCTGTAATCTCCCTGGAGTCGTTGGGTCAGGGCGTGGCTAAATGCCTGTGATGAAAGATGTGATGTGTGAAACGTTCTTGATTTATTTCTAATTGTTTTTTTAATGTCAGATGTTTTAAAAACGTATTTAATGTGGTTTAGATTATCTACTGACAGATGCTTTATATGTGTACTCTACACTGTGAACAATTTTAAACAGTTGTACAGTATGTAACATGTGTCTTGTGCAAATACATGCAGCAGAGTGATAAGTGGTGTGGGAATGAAGATGCTTGTACCTCTCTCCCTCTGCTAAAGCCCTGAAGGTGTCAAGTGATAACAGGTGCACCTGACAAAAGGTAGTTGCTTCTTCCAGTAGTTTCAGTGCCTATATAAGTGGGTGGCGACACACCTGCTACCTTAAGGGTATTTCTTAGGTATTTAATGCCACTAGAATTTTTTTTAGTTTCATTGCTTCTCATGAACCCTCACACTTCCTGTGTCTGAAATAATGCAATAATGAAATAAGGTATTCTTACATTCTGGAGAATTTCATATTATTGAAGCAGCTGAGGATGGAAACAGTAACTTGTCATCATAAGAACTAAACACATTCTTAAAAATGTGTGCTAAGAGATGTGGTCTCACCGTAGTGTTTCATTTATTATGATTGGTCATTAGTTTCCAGCAAGATTATACTGTCTGTCAGGCTTAATGAATAATTGAAGAGTGTGTATAGTGAACGTCTACCTCTGATAGAGGTGTTCTGTTTAATTCCAGACAGAGCTCCTGGGGTGATTATGTTTTAATACTTTGCGCTTGTACTGCAAGATATGCCCTCGATTCACCAGACGATGCGGTCTGACTGCACGTTGACTGTATAGTCATCTATGTCCAGCAGATCTGTGCTTCTCAGTATTGACTACGACAGTTCCCTGCTTCACAAATCACAAGTGGAAAAAAGGTGAATTATCTCATTAGGTTGCTCATGTGCAAGTCCCAGTGATACTGCAAGTTAGAAGCAAACATCATTCATCAGCAAAATAGTCCTCACTGTCCACAATCAACTCTCCTCACTGACCAGTCTTGTGGTATGAAATGTTGGCCCACCGTGAACTTGTGAAATCATTGCATTATAGCAGTTGAGGGTTCTAGCCACGCTGCCTTGATCACTGAGAGTACTGTACTGCCTTTTGAGTCCCTGGAATTTCAAAAAGGAAGGAAATGGTCTGCTGTGAAAGGATTTTTTCCAGGACAGCCTCACAGCTGCAACTTCTCCGGTGCTCTTTTAACGGCTCACATGGATCAATAGCAGATTCATATCCACACACCATATCTTCTCGTTAAACATTTTTCCACTCAGTTTGAATCCAATTTAAAAAAATATAAATATGCCTCTTCTGAAAATAATGTGGTGACACGGGCATGGTTGATTTTGTTCCCCCTTTTTGGCAAGACTGATGTAAAGTTCATACTATATGCTGAAAAATACGAGTCTGCTAAAATAATACTACTGCTGTTTTTTCACTGTATGGCATGATCTGTGCTGTATTTTGTGATGCATCGAATTAAAAGTTCCTTTGCCGTTCAGAACATTTACCCCCCCTCCCCAAATACAGTTGATAACCTTCTTCTGCTAAAGTCCGTGCCTTCACATGTTGATGAAAATTCTGTTTAGATTTCAGATGGAGGTTCTCCAAAATAAAAGACATTCTGGAACTAGATTTTCAATGTTTATTTCAGAAATTAAATTATTTGCTCCATCTGTTTTGCATCAGTATTAATGGCATTCCTGACCCCAAGTAATGTCGGAGAGATAGTGCTGTTGCTCCTGTGAACATGTAACACGCAGCAGTGCAATTCTCACTATCAACACACATTCGATTTTGTGAGGAATAAAGACACGTAGATTGGTATGCTGCTTGGGCAGCTGGGTTTATATAAGAGACTTGCTTCATGCTGTGTGATGAATCAGAATGCCTGATGGCTTTGCAGGTATCACTACACCTGTAGACATCTAGTAACCTTGTCCATGTGCATGTGAAGTTATAAATAACAATATGAATTGCTTGAATTAACAATATGAATAAGTTGAGAAAGAAAATACATGAATAATTTTTAAATTACAGTGCTGGAAAATTGTGTATTTCAAATTGTGTATTTTTGATTTCCCATAAAAAGGAAAGGAATTTAAATGTGTAGATATTGATAGCAGTTGTATCAGTGACTTTACAGCAAACGCCCCCCAAATACTTTGCTAATGATACAGTGTATTCCTTCAAATTCACACAGAATGAAAGTAGGATCAGATAATGATGAATATAATTTCTTAAAATTGTGAAAGGAAAGTGTGTCCATTTGTAATTCAGTCGATAATTACTAATTCATATTAATTAGGTTACAGATCGTTTCCATAACTACTACTGCCAGCACCACCAGGATTATTATTGTTATTAGGATAGCAAATAAAGATTTAAGCAGAAAAAGGGCATTCTTGTTCCAGACCCCAATAACTGGCTCATATTAGACTGAATCCGTATACCAAGGTCTTATCTCCCTGCCAAACTGTATTGCATTTCTGAATGAAGGACATAAGAGAGCCTTAGTGGTTAGAAAGAATGAGCACTGCTTTATTTCACTTGCCTGAAGCCATGGGTTTCTGGTCATTTTATTTCTGTGAGATGAATGATTTATCAGTGCAGGGAGAACCTGAATGGATTACATTTTATTGTAAAAAAAAAAGCCCCGGATTCAGTAAAGAAATCTTTCAGTTAGATTATCAGCATTCCCAGATCCCTGCCCTTTCCCTCCCATGTTTTCCACTGATGTGTACAGCTTTGAAGCGACAGTTCTGGGAGGTGGATCTCGGGAGGTGGCACTGTAGTGCAGAGGACTCTTGAGTGGACTTCATGTTCTGTGCTGGAAGCTCTGTGTTCTTTGTGGCACAAATGAGAAAATGTGGAGAAAACAAAGCATGTAAAAGCAAATTAAGAGTCAAAGAGCTAAATGGGATGAAGTTTAAATGGAATGCTCCATGTGAAGAATCTTATTTGCCATTGATTGGCCAATTGGAACATAAAGCAACAAAGGAAAGTCAACACATGAGAGGAGGCCTTTTTGCTCATGTGGTAGTTAGCTGCTAATCGATCTGAGAATCTCATCCAGCCTTTTCTTGAAAGAATTGTTTGACTTCAAAACCATGACTGTATAGCTTTTCCCCCTGTCCAAAAAGCCTTTTTGTGAAGAAGTGACTCCTGTTCTTAGATTAAAATGTACTTCGACGTAGTTTCTGCTGTTTTTTTCTGCTTCTTGTTTCTTTGTTGATACTGAAGTATTTCATTGGAATGACTTTGATTTTCTTCCCTTTTCACAACTGTTAATAAGAATCTTAACCACATTTTTAATTTATTAATGCTAGCTTACACATCAAATCAGAACATGCTTAAACATTGCATCATACTTATTCAGAGCTCTGGAGAACTGGCTCATGGAGACAAATTTAAGTTTTACTAGCATTTCTATTCCAGTTTAGGGTGGAAACAACTTTTATTCTAAAATCTTGGGATGTTCTGATGAGTCTGAAGGGCGGGATGCACCTAGAACCACCTGATCTTTCCTTTGTACAGGCTCCATTGTACTTTTAGAGATGGATGATTTACTCTCTTGTAAAATATGTTGGATTGTGGCTCTCAAGGATTAGGGTTGAAGACCTCTGATTTAGATTATTTGCCTCATATATTGATTTTATTCATTTTATTGTGACGGTGCTGTATGAGGGTGAGCCGATGAACCACCGCTGATCTATGGCGACCCTGACTGCGCTTAAAGCCACTCACTGTGTGAGTGAGTGCGTGACTCTCTGGATAATCAACATCCTTTCAAAAAAGAACAGCAAATTCAGAGGAATAGTTTTAATGTTTTCGGATTGAATAAGGCAAGTTTTCCAGTCCTGGAAAGGTCACGTATATTGACTCTCATTACATGAAATTGTTTGGGAGGAAAAAAACATAAATGGGCTATTTTTAACCCTAAATTTAGTGATGCAGAGACTGCAAATTAAAGGCATTGCTTTTAGTAGCATCATCAGCCCAACCAACAGTTCTCATTCGTTTCTTGGATTGTATTAGATGACATAGTAATTGTTCTAGAATGGTAAGGGGATTGCAAGCATGGACATGCTTTGTACAGTTTTAAAATGTCGCCATTGAATCTGTTTGCTTTTCCAAAGGGAATAGGTGCTTGAAACAGCCTTGCTTTTGGTTCTTTGGTGTTCTAAATGAGGGCAGGGTGGCTGTTTTCCCTATAATAACATAAAGGCCTAGCTAAAATGTCCAATTTGAAAGCAACTGTTATGATCTTGTATTTTGTTGTTTTTTTATCATACATCAGCTGTAATTTGTCTCTCTCTGTTTCCCCCCACAGTGGCCTGTGTCATTCTGAAACTCTGGCACAGGGTTTCCCTGAGGGCTGCGACTGCTGGTCCAAGCCTATTGAGACGCAAGGTGATCGTGGGCCCATTACACATCTCTTCCACTCCCCAGGCCTTTCACAGTTGCTTATCGGCTTGGTGAGTTGTGAGAAGTTCCTAAGAAATTCTTTTAAAGGGATGAGAAGATCAGTTGCTGATGGGTGTAGAATAATATTCTACCAAAGAATGCATTGTGGTTCTCTCAACTAAGGTCCTCAAGGACTACAGTCCTTGAGTGTGTAGAATATTTGAATTACCATCTGTTGCACACCTGGGGAAAGGATTAAGTTGGATGAGTTTAACAACAGCACTGAGGATCCCTGATACAAAGCATTTTTCCTTTTAATTGGAACTTAGATTTATTTATCTATTTATTTTAAGTTTCTGTTTTTCTGTGATTTAAATAATCACACATTTTAAAGCTTAAGATATTCCATTCAATTAGCTTTTTTGTATTTCAGGTTTAACCTGAAATGCTCAAACATAGCCTTATAACAATTTCCAAAAAAGATGGGTGGTTTTAAATTCCTAAACCTTGTCTTTGTGACCAGTAAACATACAAAACATGGAATTAAAACCAAAATGCTTTAGATCTGGTGGCTCCTAACCACCTTTGTTTTGGGTTTATACCATGGACCACTTCTGTACTGTAAAGTGTTGTTCACAGCAACTGTTTGAATGTTACACATAAAGGGTATATACTGTACCATACAGTACGTATAATAGAAAATAAAGTCATCACTAACGTTTTATTTTCAAACTCCAAGTGAGTCAAGATTATGCGTGCATTTTTTACCTATTTTTTCCAAATGTAATTGTAATTATGACATAACGGGCAGCTGAATGTAAAAGGATAGCATGCTAGGTACTTTTTGGGTTAACCCATCTGACTGAGGAAATGACAGCACTGCCCAAAGATCAGCACTGTCACAAACCCCCTTTCACTTTGGAGGAATGAACCAGGGAGGCAGCTGCAAGGATGCAGCTGGTGTGGAGGCAGGTTGCTTGTGACTACTTTTATCCATGTGCAAGGACAAAACAGAGACACATATTCAGAGCAGAGAGCATATGATATTCATTTTACTTGATAATTTGGTTCCTGCTAAGGTTGGTTGTCTGACTTAAGTAATTGATACATTTCCATTTTGTTAATCACATTACAGAGGTGAATTGACAGAAAGTGACTATTAAAATGCAGTGTGATATTAAAGTTCTAAAAGCCTATTCTGTATGTCCTGATACCATGGAGGATGTTATACTGTATTGTGGGAAGTTCACTTACTTGAAAGCAAGGAATTTAGGAAAAAATGCATGCCTTCTTTGATTTTATTCTATTTGTATTTGTTCAACTTTTAAAAAGCTGTTCCAGTATCAGCTTTGAATGCTGTGCTTGAATTGAATCACAGGAGCTGTATGTTGTGTTCTTTAACATAGAGTAGACAAATACAGTTTCACTGTTGGAAACCTGTCTTGTAAATTTAATTTTGCCAAAGATGTTTTTTTTTAACAATAAATAATTTTGAGTTAAGTCATGGACCATGAGTTGGGAAGCACTGCTTTAAATTCTTTGTGCCTGGGGCTTTTTGGGGAAGCTAACTCTGTGGCAATCTATTTATTTTTCCCATATAATTTGTTTGCTGTGTTTTGCTGTGGGCGCGGCTGTAGAAACATTGTTCTTTAAATCAAATCAATATGTTTTCTCAAAATGCAATTAGACATCTATTTTGGAATGAGTCTGTGGATATTTAAAAGGCATGGCTAATTATAAATCTGTCAGTCGTTGTTTTTTGGAATATGCTTTAGTATCACATCTGCCCATCTTGTGTTCAGGAACATAAATGTTTCCCTGCTGGATGAAGTGGATACAGTCTGTTCATTTTAATGTACAGTATTTAGGCAATAGACCATGCATGGCCTGCTTGATCCACATCTGGCAATTGTGCTGGTTTCTGCTTTTGGGTTGGAACAGGGAAGAAAATTGATCACGCATATACTGAATACCTGTACTCATTGATTTCCTATCAGAGACACAAAATCCCAAGTTTAGTTTCATTATATGGAAGGAAGAGGACCTCTAATTTATCTGAATTCCTACAGAGTCCTTTACAATTGCCGATAAAAATATCTATTGTGGATTATTTATGTGTAGGTGTAGGAAAATCCTCTTTACTATATGTGAAAAATGTTAAATTAGATTAAGAACAGTTTACATCTTTTAATATGCAATTGTAGTGCTTAGAAGCGACTGATTAAATATTTGATTTTAAGTCTTTATTTTAGGCATTGAAAGGACAGGGTTATGTATTACATAAGATTGGCATAGAAAAGTCCTTCAGCTATTAGAAAGCACTTCAGATTGACCCCAACTGTACTTAAGAAGACAACAGATATTATGTTTTTTTCTAATCACAAAAGAATATGACTGACGTCTATTACATGAAAGGTTATGAAAGCAATAACTTTTACTAAACTTGAAGATCACCTGTACAGTGTCTTGCAAAATAATTGAGACCCTTGCACATTTTGGTTTTTTAGAGACTGCAGTCATGGCACTTCGATATAGCAATCGAAATTTCAGTTCAGTTCATTTTATTTTCATAGGCACAAGTGCAAATTTGCATGTATGCTCCAATTCAAAGACATTAAGGAAACACCAAAAACATAAACACAGAACAGTGGCAGCAACAAGAAGTTAAGTAACACACATCTTTGAAAGAAACATCAGTGTGAGCCAGTGGTAGGGGTAGAGTTCAGTAATCTGACATTTTATGGGAAGAAATTCTTCTTTCTCTGAATCTGGAAGTTAGTGCCTCTATGCTCCTATAATGCTTTTCAGAGGGAAAGGGGAAGAAAAATGAGAAACCACATTGGTTCATATCCTTAGAGATACTTCCAGCCTTCCCAAGACAAAAAATGTGTGAAATAGAGGGAAGCTGTACTCCAATGATGGTATGCGCTGACCTGATCACCACCTGTAAGGCCTTCTGGTCAGACAATGTTTGAACAATATGTGTCTGTAAGGTCCCTCAGTGAGGTAGTCAATTTTAAGCAGATTCAAAAATGAAGACCAAGGGGCTTTCAAAAAAACTCATGGATAAAACTGTAAAAAGACGTACATCATAAGTAGAGTATGACAAATTTGAAAAGATCCTTAAAATGTCTAAGAAGTGCAAGGCACCCAAACAAAGCCTACATCAGGCTGACTCTACAAACTTAAAGTTCAAAATTGCGGGAGAAACATGCGTGAGTCTCTACAATATCCTGATCACTCCAGAAACCTGGTCTGTGTGGCAAAGTGAAAAACTTGATCTCAAATCCCACATCAAGTTTTCCATTTATATGATATAGCAAACATGAGGTAAAATCTTATGTGGACAGACAAGACAAAATTGGAGCCTTTTGCTTTAAAGTCAAAGAATTATATTTTATACAGATCCAGCACACTATATCACTCAGTCAAATCTTTCCTACCTGCCAAGTATGGTGGTGGCAGCATTATGTTATACTTCTGCTTCTCATCAGCAGGGACTAGGAAGCTTGTCAAGGCTGATGGTAACATAGAGCAAAGTACTGGCAAATCTTTGAGGAAAACGTGCTTCAGATCTAAAATTGTGACAAACGTTAAACTTTCAGTATGACAATGACCTAAAGTAAAAAGCCAAAGCTACACTTATGCGGTTAGGAATAAGAAAGTGAATGTCATTAAGCTGGCTGCTCAAAGACCTGACTTAAATCCTGTTGTGGATCTACAGAACTGCTGTCCATAAGCTATGCCCAAGCAAGTTGAGAGAGCTTGAGAAAATTTACTAAGAAGAACAGGCAAAAATTGTACCAATCTACATTACAAAATTGCCACAGACTTACCCAAAAAGACTTGCACCTGTAATTGCTGCCAAAGGTATACTTCTACCTAGTATTGAGTTCTCAGGTCTGAATACTGTGCAATCAACATTTTACAGGTTCTTCCTCTTTTATTTTCTGGCATTTACTGTAATTTATTTATCCTTAGAAGCCTTCAGTCTGAGCATTCAGGTGATTCAGATTCAGGTTTTGAATAAAGTATTGCGTGTAAAAGCACGTGTATGCATCATTTTGTAGTTCCACCAAATGGGACACCATAGGATGAGTCTCAATACTTTTTCTAAACATTGTATGGAAATAATATCCTAGGGGGATAGTCAACATGAACTTAGGCGTTTGCAAATTATTGGAAACAAACAATAAAAGTCATAGGCACACTCAGAACAAACAATACGATGTATTTAGATTTTCAGAAGGCTATTGATACAGCTCCTCATACAAAAACAATTGACAGAAAGACAGAAGTTATTCGGGGAACTGCTTCTGTTTGGGTGGAGAACTGATTAAGTGATAGAAATCATAGTACATCTATATATAATACATTTACTACATATAATGCTCAAACTGGGATGATATAATTAGTGGAGCACCACAGGCATTTGCACTACACTGCTCTGATCATTATATTAGCAAACTAGATTCTGGTAAAGTCAGCAAATAAGTGAAGTTTTCAGACAGTATCAAAATAGGAGGATTTCCAAACACTGTAGAAGCAGCAAATTAAACACTAAGATTTTGCTAAAGTTCAAGCAAAGACCTGCAGACTTGCAATTGTTTTCTGTAATACTTTATTTTATATATACATTTTTCTGTTACTTATGTTATTTTTCTCTTAGGGGAAAACAGCTCAATAATACTAGTTTATAAATTTTAAATCTCTATATCTGCCTTAAAAATTAGACTTTAAATACACATATTGGGCCATTTTTACAAAAGGTAATCTGTGCTGACAAATTCTTTATATATTTGCCTTCCACATTACATTAAGTACTATTATGTAAGTCATAAAGAAGTCATAAAGAACTGAAATATGTTGTAATGTCACTTAAAATAAAGCATTGCCATCTTTTCTCAGCGTGTTACTTGCTGTTCACGGTTTGAAACCATCCCTGGAGGATTTCATTTGAAGTCCACCATGAATAGCTTCAGTCCAAATAAACCTCACACCATCTATCAGCTATGTGTCTATCAGCGAAATTAAGAATTATGGCAGAAAAGTCACAAAGTTAAAAAAGTGC